AAAGTAATTTTGACAAATCCACAAAATGTGAATTTTAATTCTTCAAAATGTGAATCACATTTTTCTTACTTTGCTGTACTGTATATACTCTATTTTATTATTCTGATGCATAATTAGATCAATTAATTCTAATTATTTAATAATAATAAAATAATTCTCATTTTGATCAAAATAGAATTTTTAAAATTGCTCCCAAAAAATAATATTGCTGAATTAAATTTTTGGGGGATTTGTTTAAAAAAATTGGGTCAGTAATAAAAGAATACAAAACAATTACTATAAAAATGTGAGGGGAGAATAAACAAAATCACTATTAATGATATTCCTTTGTGTTGTTCTTAAAAACTGTTCAATATCAATGTTGTCTTGTTACCAAAGCTTGCTTTTCTTTTTCCACATCCTCTTTTGAACACACTGGTGCTTCTACCTTCAATTCCTGTTGGTGTAAATAATAATGTTTTGTTATAATGTAATGTAATACCTCATCATTGCTAGTGAACTTGGCACACCCTTTCTAATAAGAATGATAATAAAATATAAAATATCATCAAAATAAATTAAATTACTCTATTATTGACATGTTGATTAGCTTTAGGTTTAACATCAGTAGCTGGATTAGTACTGTCAGTCCTTTCAGCACTAATCACATAAGTGTCATCAACAATGGCATCATTGGCATAAACAGTAGTAGCATGTAGATTTGATGCTATTGGTGATGTCCTGTCCTTTTGAGTTGTTGTCCTCTGTTGTTGCATCAACTCCTAATAATAATCAGTTTGGTATTTGTTTATGAATTAAAATCTAATATGTAGATGGATAAGACACTTCATATTACACCTCTTTTATAGTCTTAATTACAACAATTGCTTATGTTAAGTTGAAACGCTATTTTTCTATTGTTAATAAGATTTTTCATCATAATTTCACTATCATTACAAGAACAAAATACAGTGCAACTAGATGTGATGTTAGCAATGGAAACAATTTTGATATCACCATAAGAGATGATTATAAATTACCTGATTAATATCAACATGATAGGGACTCTCATTATCTATTGGTCTATTATTAGTTGATGTTACAGGTGATGTGGTAATGGGAACTTCTTTCCTTAATTCATGAATATCTTGATATTGATTGGTCTCAACATGTGATTTTTGAATACCAAGGCCTATAATTGTCATAAGTTTGTTTGCAACAAAATTATCAATAATATTTACCATTTGAAAAATCAATAGAATTTTTTTTTGTCTTTCTTTTAGTAACAATGATCACAGCACATACTGTTAATATGATTGCTAGCATTAGTACACTAATTGTACTAACCACAACAGGTATAATATAATTATTGGTATCATCAATAGTTCCCCCTATTATAAATATGTGTATACATAAGTACAGTATATGTGTTCATACTTGTTGATGAGGGGCTTTCAACCATAGTGGCAGTTATTGTGGGAGTAATGCTAGTAGTGTCTAGAAAATAATTTAAATTAGATAATGATGCTACTAAAAAGAGGTACAAATTAGCTAAAAAAAGTATTCTACCACACACAATTTTTAATCAACCAATTAGATCACATTATAAGTTAATCAATCACTTTGCAAATTTAATGATTAATTGGTCCCCTTCAAAATTGATCATCTACATATTCTAATCTGACCATAATAACACATAATTAAATTCAATTTTGAGAAAACAGTGAAATTGTGGCATATCGTATAGTGGGTTTATTTCGAGGATGATAATTTTCGCGAATGACCTGTATCCGAAGGTTTACAAAATTAATTTTCATGAATTGCGACTTTTTGCCAATTTGTACGGTATTAAATTAATTTTCAAGGAATTTAATTTCGCAAATCTTCAAAAAATCTGCGAAATTTGTTATTCTCGAAATAAACCCCTATATGGTAATACATGGCCCCATGTCACAAATTAATTCGTTTTATTGGTTTAGCGTTCATAAAATTTTGTACATTAGTATTGTAGTGATACCACACAACCTCATTTTGATAATAAATGCTTTTAAATGTACATAGTAGAAGCCAGTTATTCAATCTATTATTGTATATTGTATGTCAGGGTGTTGTTGTATCTGCTATTAAATTATTTAGTACATAACTCACTAAATAATTGTATAAATGGTTCACTACTACCAGCCTCATTACTAAAAACAATACTGATGCTACACTGTTCATGTAGTGGTACTAATACTGATCCTGTTATATTCATTGATTGTGTAGTATATTCCACTAGATATATGTTGTTAAAAATAACACCAGCTCTAGTACATTGTACAGTAACTGTAGCATTCTCAGGAGCTTCACCAGTACACTCCAATACCACCTGTTATAATAATACACATTAACAAGAATAAAATTTAAATAACATGGCATTACTGATATATTAAAGAAAGCAGTAGAAGTATTTTGACTAAATGTTATTATATTTGAGCCAGCTTCGGTAACTGATTGTGGTACTAAAAAGGATGAGCTTATTATTCAGTAATCATTGTCTATTGTACCTCTTTGATATGAGAATGTATTATTATTAGATATTCCTTCTCCTAATTCATTAACTCCAGTTATAACATATGTATAACGATGAATGAATAAATTATTATCCACAAACTGATAACTGGTATCATATACTGATACAGTGTCCACTAGACTACCAGTAATAGCATCATATACTCTTAGTATGTAAAACAGTATAGATACTCTATCATCAACTATAGGAGCAGTCCATGTTATATCAATAGTAGAACAGTTGTCAATCGAAGAGTCAATGTTAGTAACTGGTCCAACTTTACCTATTAATGAGAAAACTAAGGAATATACAATGTAATAGTTCTTTACTATATCCAAAAGAAGGTGTAGGTAAATATTCTCCTCCATTATTACTCAGTGAAACATTAACAATAAATATATTTAAATTATTAGGTACAGGTATTACTCCAGTAATCATCAGCTGATCATTAACTTGTGTTGATATACTAGTATTATCTTGTATCTCATTATCAGTATTCAGTATAATAACTGTTACATTGTTAGGATATTCGCCAATACACAGCTTACTCACCTAATGGTGCATGTGTATACAATAGCAGAGTTTACAATGTAGCGATACACAAATGTAATTCTACTATGCCATGCATACAAATTAATGCTAATTATTAAATTGTTTTACATATTTTAAAATTTCTTGCCTACATATTATAAGCTTAGTACTACATGTACTCACATTAATACTGATATTCAATTGTCCATCAATTACTGGTACCACTGATATAGGAGGAGTAATGAGAGGAACTGAAAGATACACTGTGAACATATATATGAAGCCATAGTAATATACTAACCTGTTTCATAATAGAAACTGATATTATTAGATGAACCTATTCCAGCATCATTAATAGGAGAAACTGATACATTATTTAATATACAAGGATCAGGATTAGTAGCTGATAATGTGATATTAGTATCACTATTAGTAGTAATCTTCACTAATTCATTAACTATATAGTATCCAGTGATAGGTACATTATCCAGTGTATAAGGAGCTGTCCATGTTAATAATACACTGGCTCCATTAATAAAGGTATAGTCCAGATTAGCAACACTATCCAACAGACCTAAAGAAGAAAGGAATATAACAGCATACAGGGAAATGAATTGTAATAATTATTCATTAATTATTTTTCAATACAATTATTATAATCTAGTCTCAATTAGATAGTTTTTATAATAGTAAAGCTATGGCTTGTTATCAATTATCTATGCTGATACTCTTTTGTGGTCACTCACTCATTGTTTGTGTTAACATGCATCAACATGGAAGGTGTAATGAATTAGACAGAAAATATTTTGTTAATGCATGAATTGTTATTATGTTATTAAATGATTAGCCAGCCACCCACCTCAATGTTGTGAATATTGCATGCGGGAGTGGGTGGAGGATGGTAGTACCGGGGTAATTAATGGACCTTTTGCACTTAAGCGATTCCATATTTTTTTGTAATCAACATGCACCCAAAGTTATAGGAGGCATAAAAATTAAGAATGTATTATAAAGGATAGCAAAGGCTATTCTGCTTTAAAAAGTTTCCAGTAAAATTAATGAAAATGCCACGTTCTGTATGACTGTAATTATACATACAGACCATGCAGACAAACACAAAACACACACACAGAGTCTTGCTGCCCACACCCTCCACCTACAGTCATTGGGGACTTCGGAGTCCACCCCAATGACTGCCAAAGTAGGCAAAGGGTCTAAGCATGCACAAAGACTAACACACACACACATACACACACACACACACACACGCACACACGCACAAACCTTGCATCATTAATATTGCTGCATCACTGAGCACTGCCTGAAGAGGTTCATCAGTACTAGCTCTACATCTCACTTCAGTATTATTGTTATGTTCATAAGCTATTGCTTGTAGCTCTGCTCTTCTAGTACCATCATGATCACTTGATGTTACACTAAATCCTTTAGCTATAACATCTCTATTAGTAGCTGGTGTATTATTAACTCGAACAGTAAGTTCATCACCAGTTCCTTCACAAGAGAAGACAACAGTAGAGTTGAGTGTTGTATTAATAGACACTGGCTGAACTGTTATATCTATAGATGATGACAAATTGGCATTAACTACTTAAAATAGTAATAGTGATACTTACTAGCACAAAGA